ATCACTTCCTCTTCCCGTGCTCCTGCGCAAGCCATAGGCCTCGGAGTCTGCACCGGCTATGGGAATACTGCTGCGGAGCCTGTCCGGGGGAGGCCGGGTGGGAGCTGCGCTCTGCTACCGGGCCAGTTCTCGCGGGCCGAGTGGGCCGCACTGCCCCCGCTGGGTTGCGGGAGGCCAGCCAGCCCTTGGAAGAGTCACGGTCAGCGCGCTCCCTGAAAGCTTTCTTCAGGTTTGGGCCCCAGACCAAGTACCAGTTAGTGACCGGGGTCACGGGTGAACACCAGAGGCGTTAGAGGCGGAGATTGGGGTGACCCGATGTCCTCTGAGCTTCTCTTGTGAAGTCGGAAGGCCGACAGGACCGAGGACCACGCGGATAGTCCGCGTGGTCAGCGGAGGAGTGTTTAGTGGCTGGAGATGGTCAGCCAGTTCTGTGCAATCATTCAGAACTCAGACCCAGTTCCTGGCACTGAACCAGGCCCTTAACACGTTTCTTCTCATACCAACCAATGTGTCCGTTTCACAGACAGGGAAACAGTGTACGGAGTGAAATATAATCATTTGTCTATGGTCCTGCAGGAAGTGAGGAGGCCGAGAAGGGTGAACATTCCCCAGTGCCTTACCAGCTTCCTGGGGATTCATACTGCTTATCCCGTGTTCGCAGGGCTCACAACAATTCTCCAGCTGGAGCAGCTGCCAGAGTCTTCCCCGAGGAAGACACAGTGTTCTTCACAGACACCATGCTCCAGTGCGAGCCACTGATAGCCACAGAGAGTTGGGGATGGACCACAGGGAAGAAGGTGCGGAGGATGACGGGGAGCCAAAGGCCACCCAGCCCCGGGAGAAGCCCCCAGACCCTCTGTCACTTGAGCCTCCCACAAACTGCTGCATGAGCGGCTGTCCTAACTGTGTGTGGGTAGACTATGCAGAAGCCTTGCTCAAACACTACCAGGATGGGGGGGAACAGGCCCTGGCCATTCTAGAGGAACACGTGAAGGATGAGAACCTCAAGGCCTTCCTCAGGATGGAGATCCGGCTCCGGCTCAGCACCCAGAGTGCAGGCTGAGCCAGTGTATGTGGGACTCCAGGCCGTGGAGGGATGCCACCCTTTAGAAGCACAGGACCACTTTTATCCTTGAGCCTGGAAGATTCGACGTGTCTGCCAGGAATAGGAAGTAATGTGTAAGAACTTCACCTCTGAATAAATTCTCTGCGCCAACCAAACTGTGTGGTCCCTCTGCCTGCGTTGTCAAAGGAAGCATACATACCCAAGGCTGGTTGTGTGTTCCGGTGAGCAGCCACAGGTTTCCTCACCGGTGAAGATGAACTAAAGCCCTCAGTCAAAGAACATCCTACGACAGGATCACCCCAGGCCCCATTGTACCTGGGGTGTCCTGCTGACTGTCAGCTCTGGTTCCCAACTGTGCAGTAAATGAGAACCATCATGTGGGAGGGGCCTAGCTGCTCCCAGTCTCCTGCTGGGTCCTGATGGGAGGGGATTTCTTTCTACCGTGTAGTAGCCTAGGGTCATCCCTTAAGAGTTCTGAATCCTGTTAGACGCAGCTAGGGTATCAAGCTCCAGAATCAACTGCATGGCACTAGCAAGGGCTGAACTTAAATGTGTTTGTGCCCACCTACTTTATTAAATGGGAAAGCTAGGATTATAGAGTGACTTCTGTTGGGTTTGAGCTGATAAATAGGACTTTTTCCGTGTTTGGTGATTTACACAGACCTGTGACAAAATTAAGACCAGAAAGTCGGGGCACTTGGCTAGTGGGGGACAGAACACGGTTCAGGCTGGCATCTTGGAAAGATGACTCATGCTATCCAAAGTACATAGCCAGCGGGGGCTGGGCCCAGATAAACGTGATAATGGTGACCACACCTATGAGGTCCCAGACTTTTGTATAGCTGTTTCCTGTAAACCTGTAAAGCATCTCCTCCTTAAAAGAGGTTCTAAAGATGGTTGGTTTCTCTGTATAGCCTTGGCTGCCCTGGAACTTTTCTAAAGCACCGAGATCCGCCTGCCTCTGCCTCTCGAGTTAGGATTAAAGGAGTCACCATACCTATTGTAAGTAGACATCTGTTTGCATCTCCAGGAAATGTTAACACCAGTGGTCAGCATCTCCAGCATTGGACAATTGTGGCTAAGGCCAGTAAGGCTGTGCAGTATAAGATGCCCTCGAAGAAAAGTCATTGGCCAGCCCTTCGCAGTGGGCCCAGGTCTGCTTCTGGGTAGTGACACTCAAGTTCTCAGACTCTGCCATGCTGGCCTGTATCTTACCGTGCCTCCATCAATTTAATCCCCAGGTGCTTACCACCATGCATCTGTGAAGTGCCCCACAGTGGCCCAGACACCAGTAGTATAATGTGCCGCCTCCCAGCACTTCCGTGCGGAAGACCAAGGTTAACACAGAATCATGCGGAGCTGCCTGTGTGGCACATGCTTGTAACTCCAGCACTTGAAGGGCATCCTTAGCTCCATGACAGTTTGAGGCTAGCATGGAACTACATAAGACCACGTCTTTAAAAAGAAAAACAAGCTGGGCGGTGGTGGCGCAGGCCTTTAATCCCAGCACTGGGGAGGCAGAGGCAGGTGGATCTCTGTGAGTTCGAGGCCAGCCTGGTCTACAAGAGCTAGTTCCAGGACAGGCTTCAAAGCCACAGAGAAAACCAAAAAAAAAAAAAAAAAAAGAAAAAAAAAAGAAAAAAAGAAAGAAATACAAGAAAACCAATTCTATCCAAAGTTAGAGGAAACAGGCACAGGAAATGGAATATACAAGAGTCGCAGATGCAAAGACCTTGGGGTTGAAATGCAAGAGGCAGGACTGAATGGCAAGGGGGGGAAAGGGGCTGTCACATAAAGCATCAAAGTCCACAGTTTCCTCAGTGGATGGGAGAGAAAGGGAATGGATAAGCCCAAGCAAGAACTCCGGAAAATGGCCCTGTTTCTGGAGGCATCGTCCCACAACTGGTGAAGATAAAACTTCCCTTCCCTTCTTGACCATCTGCTGGAAGGGAATGTCCTTCCTTCAGGCCCTTGACTGCTCCTGAATTTCTTCTGCCCACCCCAGCATCCCAGGCAGTGGTGACTCCCCTAAGGCCCAGCAATCTCATTAGTGTAGCATCCCAGCAGAGTCATAATCCACTCACCAGGAGAAGAATAAATCCCTAGGCCACTGCTCTGCTGACCCAGTCCAGCCGACTGGCACCTGTGGCTCCCTGAGATCTGTCCAGTGCTTGGTGAGTCGCGACCCATCATCCCGTTGCCTTTTCTGACAGCCAGGTCTCTGCTCATTCAGAGTTGGGACTGGGGGAAAACAACATATTTTTACCACCTCTGCCAAGCTTTGGGTCTTTAAGAGTTCGTCCCTTTTCCCTGTCCTTTGGAGAGGACATCCTGCCAACCACCTCCTCTGCTTCTCCACAATGTCAAATGGTAGTGCCTGTTACCAAGGCCAGCCACCTGACCATACAGCTAAGTGGTACCAGCTTCAGGTCAGTCCGGGGTTAGGCATCTCAGGCGTGGTTTCCATAGAGACAGCGCTGATCATTGGAGCTCTGTCAGGGGTTCATGGCCTTTGGCTAGAGAAGTGTTTTACTGCTGGGAAGTAAGGATGGGTGCCTCAGAACCGAGCATCCTGGTTTCCTAAGCTCTTGAGTCCTGGTTCGCAGGCTGGTGCTGGCTTCAGGGACAGAGGCTGAACTAGGAAGGGCAGGGGGAGCTGCTGAGGTTGAAGTCAGCATCGCCTACTCTGCTTGCTGATCGGTTTCAGCCTTGCTGATCCTGCAGACCACTGACAGTAACTTAAGACTGTTCAGTACTATACCACATAGGACTTAGAGCAGGAAAGGGGACTCAAAGACGCAGTTGGTCTCTTGGACAGCTAAGGGTTGGAGCAACGCCTCCTGTCTGGGTCACCTGTTTTCAGCAGCAGGTGAGGTTTATTTAGTCAGCTTCCTAGAACTCTGGGAGATTAGGAGTCTCCTTCGGCGCTAATAGGATTACAGAAGCTGTACTGTCCTTGGCTAAGGTCGCTGGGGCTTGGAGCTCTTAGTTGAGAGGAGGGCCGCAGAGGCCAGCTCAGCCTCTCCAGAGCCCTGATACAACGTCTGACTGAGAACAATCTCAAGTCAGCGAGCCAGGGAGAAGCCTAAGGGAAGAATCCTAGTGTAACTGCTCTCCCTGAGACCTGCTTCTGGCTTGGCCCTCCGAAATGGAGCCATGAAGTGAGGAGTTCCCAGTTCAGCTGCTTCTGGTTCAAGGACAGGCCCCTTCCTTAGGGCATCGCTGTGGAGCGTTATTTATCAGCATCAAGTCCAACCCCCAGGGACAGATAATAAACCAAAACCAACAAGTACATAAATATGAACAAACATACTTTAAAAACACGCGTGTAAATTAACTAGTTTAGCCCTAGAATGTGGTATGAAGAAATAAATTAGGACCTGGAAATACAGAATGCCATGAGGTAGAGTCAGAAGAGGCCCCTAGAGTCAGAGAAGGGGCCAATGAAAGCAACCTGGGGCTGATCATCTGGAAGGGAAGGGAAGATGCTGTGGGGCTCATGTACAGGATCAGGAAGGGGTGTCCTTTGTTTACCCTCCTAGGCGTCCTCAGAAGGGTTTCCACGGAGTGACAGGCTCGAGATCAGATTCCAGTGGATGAGAGGGAGGGAGGGAGGGAGGGAGGGAGGGAGGGAGGGAGGGAGGGAGGGAGGGAAGGTGCAGGCACCAGTGTGGGGGCCAACATCAAGGTGTTCAAGGGGAGGTAATAAAAAGCCCTGGTTTGGGACATGGGGGCGGTCAAAAGGGTGTGTTTGATAGGAGTATGGGATGGGCACAAGGTAGTTCATGAGTTGTGTGTGGCTGCTAGCAGTGGGAGGTGCCTCGTGGTATCAGGAGAATGCTGGAGAGCCCTGGTGGAGCTGGAAGGTGGTTCTCTGGAGGGGAGACAATGTCTCAGGGTGGCTCGTGGGTGCCAGGCCCTCTGTTCTTAAGGTTGGAAAGGAGGAGTAAGGGCTAATAGGGATCCATCTGTCTGGTCTGCCCCAGTCTGCATGAGGAATATAGACCAGCCTGACAGAGCCCAGAAGCTAAGGGTCACTGCAGTGTCTCTGCCAGCCTCACCATGAACCTGGAGCCACCCAAGGCTGAAATTCGGTCAGCCACACGGGTTATAGGAGGACCAGTTACACCCAGGAAAGGACCACCTAAGTTTAAACAACGGCAAACCAGGCAGTTCAAGAGCAAGCCCCCCAAGAAAGGCGTCCAAGGGTAAGCAGAACGACAGAGCGGAACCTTTCACAGAAGGAACACTCTTCCCAGGCTGCATGGGAGGACAAGGCAGGGGCTGGAGTGGAGCTCGGGCCATGGTACTTTGTGGTACATCTTCATCCCGATGACCAGGGCCTCGGGAGTTTTGGGGGAACCAAGGGCCTGTCATTTACTCCAGGTGCTGCAGCCAGGCAGGTCTGGAAAGCAGGCTGCCCGAATCTCCTCAGGGATGTGTGTACACCCCGCCACATTCCCCTGTGCACACACAGACACCTGCGTGTGAACACCTACAAGCATGGCTTTAGCCAATTTTCTGTTGCTCTGACGAAACAATAGGAACTAAATGCTTTACGTAGAGATTTGTGTGCCCTTGGGTTTGGAGACGGAAAGCTCCAGGAAGGGTGGTCTCAACGTTTGGCCTCTGGTAAAGACCTGACGGCTATACCACAACCTGGAGGATGGTATCGTGGCGGGAATGCTGGGGAAAGAGGCTGATCATAAGTAGACAGAGAACGCGAGAAAGCAGAGAGGAACGAGTCTCTCCGTTCTGGCCACCTCCTCTGTAGAGTCATAACCTTGTCCTGTGAGGATGGCATCAATCCATAGTAACGATTCCCCACGTGTGATTCAGTCACTCTCTCTGCTTAAAGACCCACACTTCTCAGTACCGCTGCACCCTGGAGACCAGTGTCCAGCACGTGTGCCTTCCTTATTCATTCATTTTTTATTGTTTTTTTTCGAGGCAGGGTTTCTCTGTAGCTTTGAAGCTATCCTGGAACTAGCTCTTGTAGACCAGGCTGGCCTTGAACTCACAGAGACCCGCCTGCCTCTGCCTCCCAAGTGCTGGGATTAAAGGCGTGTGCCACCACCATCCGGCTCACGTGTGCCTTTCAGGGACAAGTCACAGCCAACACACTGAGACACACACAGCACCCTCTAGCACACTCCTGAAGAGGCCTACAGACCATATTCACGTAACGTTGTTGCATGGGTTCCTGCCCATGTGTACCTGGGCTCACTCTTCCCTTCCTGGTCCTCGGCCTGTGAATCTCTGGGAAGCACCTGGCCCCATGATGGTGAAAGGGAGCCCCCAGTCCCTGCCCAGTAGCAGATGTTGGGGGGACATCTGGCACCCAGGGGTGGCTCCATCTAGACCTGGAGACATCATCCTTGACCACTCTGTCTTTGCAGGTTTGGGGATGACATCCCTGGAATGGAAGGCTTGGGCACAGGTATGACAACCCAGGATTGTTGCAGCTGGACAGTCCTCCTAAGTCCCCTACATCCCCCAGATATACTCCCACAGGCCCCAGGTTCCCCTCTATTGCTTAGCCTGCCTCCCATCCTGTCCATATTTCTCTCCTAACATCAAGTTTTAGATTCCCCTGAGAGGGGTTGTTCCCATGAGGCAGGTTCACCAGACACAGAAGGAACTTTTGCTGGTCCTTCCAACTTCAGCAAGGGTCCCTATCAGGACCTCACTACTGGAGCCAGGACCCAGAAGATAGAGTTGGTGCTTCCTGCCTAGGAGGATTTGCAGCCAGATCTTAGCCTCTCGTCCAAGGCAGATGTGTCTTTTACTTGGGGAGTAGAAAGCAAGGCGACAGGGAATGGGGTGGTCGTGGGGCCACGGACTCCCCGTTAATGACACCTTTCCTGCAGACATCACTGTCATCTGTCCGTGGGAGGCCTTCAACCACCTGGAGCTGCATGAACTGGCCCAGTACGGCATCATTTAGTCAATCCCGGCTGTGAGAGTCCTGTGAAGGAGACCTGATGAAGACCCACGCTGCCCCCCCCCACCTTCTGCAAACCCTGCCCAGGATCCCTGCCCGAGCCTGAGCCTAAATCCCAGCCTGAGTCCCTAGCCAGGTTGCTCCCGGCCTCCAGGGGGACAACTTCATGCCCTGACACCAGTTACCAAGAGCCTACAGCCTCCCCACAGGACACTCTGGTGACCTGAATTCACAGGTAGAAGGAAGGAAGGGAGGGGGACCCAGCCCTGCCTCCTGTTCTTATGTCTGAGCTCCCCAGAAGTGTTTCCCTACACTGCCTCCTGTGGACAGGAGTTCCTCTGCCCCACAACCCTTCCAGATGGACGTCTGGAGGTGGGACACTGTCCTGGGGTCTCTGGTGAGAGAGGCTGAGGCTGCACTCTTTATACCAGCCTTCCCAACACACTCTGTCCTTTCCCCATTTCTAAATAAAATAGCATCTCCTTGCTTCTCCGAGGTGCACTGATGGAGTATGGTCCCTACAGTAGGGTTGCTTTAACTGCACCATGGAGGAGGGTTCAGAGTGTGTGAAAGTGGGAGAGACTGGCAAGAAAGAGAAACAGAAAACTCCCACTAACCAATACTCCTCAGAGGCTTGGCCTAGAGGTGCTGGGTATATGAGCCTGGCCCTGCCCCTCACTCCTGGTGGCCGTAGTCAGTGAAGCAGACTCCCCAAGAAGATAGGAAAGGACAAAAACTAGAACCCTAAACACAGACACCCAGTGAGCAGCCCCATGACCCAGCCAGTCTATCCTAAGACCGAGCTGAGACCCACTGCACACCCCAGTAACCTGAGGATTCCACACGTAGAGGTAAGGCATATAGGCGCACACCTGGGCAAACACTTCCAAACACGCACAATATTTAGAGTAAATATATGATTATTTCTTTCGATGTTCAGAAAATGGCTTTCAGAAGGGCTCTATGTGTCAGGCATTGTGGTGCACGCTTGTAATCCCCAGTGTGAGCAGAAGGCAGAAGGGTAACGGTCATCCTCAGCTACGCTACGTAGGGAGTTCAAGGCCAGCCTGCAATACATGAAAAAGAAATAGAATAGGCAAGAAAAAGACTCCACTTTTGAGACAGCCACGGACTGACCGTGCTGACTCTACAGATGAAATCAGAGCTGGGCCGCCCTCCGCCTGCGTCTGCCCTAGCTGGGAAATGAGGAATTGTCTCCATCTTGACTCGAAGAAGTCCCAGTCATTGTGAGACCTGTAGTTTGCTATGCAAATATGAATGCACACAGCAATACACAAATCTTCCTCCTCCAAAACAGCTTTCTACAGAGCAAGGCCTAGGCTGCATCCTTCAGCTCACCGAAGGCCAGAAAGTAGGAGTAGACCTGAGAGAAGCCATTTCTGCAGAAATGGGGACCTAGAGCCAGTCAGGGTGAGTCAGATCAGGGCAGGGGGCTGAGGTTGGAAGCAGGGGCCCTCAGCCCTTGATCTTCCTGACATCCTAGTGGGAAGCAGGTGTGCTCAGGAACAGACCATGGTAGCCTTTGGGCTTAGATGGGTCTTGAGAACTCAGGAGTGAAATTGTGAGATTGGGGCAGGACAGGTGGGCCTTGGGGGACTGACAGATGTGGCAAAGAGGCAATGGGCCAGGAGTGGAGCCCAGGGGTCTGTTCCATGCGAGTTACTCTGACTTTCCTTGGAAGATGAGGAAAGGCTTGGAACTTGGCCTGTATCAGGGTCTTCTCAGCTCTTCTCACTCCACGGAGGTTGGGGTTCTGTATCCTCTGCTGTCTTTAGTACAGCTAGAGCCCTTAGCAGGCAGGCGGCCAACAGGAGTTCAGCCCCTTGGATGGCGACCACAGTGATGACACAGCCGCCTATGGTCTGCATGTTCCCTTGCAGCCACTGCTGCAGCACAGGCCAGCAGCCTTGCAGGTACACCACTTGTCCAGCCGCATTCTGGTCCAGGTGCAAAACCCCAAAGCCGCACTGAGTGTTCACCAAAGCTCCCCCTTCCTGGGGGTTGATGCAGCAGGAGGCAGGAAGGCTGCAGGCTTGTACCCCAGGAGAGCTGCAGTTAAAGTACCTGCAGGGCACAAGGTTAGTCCTGGAGAGGAGGCCTTCAAACTTCAATCCCCCCCCCCCTCTCTCTCACACACACACACACACAGAGAGTTGCATGCATATGAAGGGTATATGTATACACATGCAAGCGCACATAGAGGACCCTCAGTTTCTTGTACAGTGCTTATACACTCTGTGGACAGGGGATGGGGTGGGGTGGGGTGTTGTGCCTTTCTTGGCCGGCAAGGAAATGTTTAGTGAGGTAGTTGAAGGAGAGGTGTTGGGAAGACCTGGCTTGCAGACTTTCTCTCCGACACTGCCTGTGAGTTTATTTGAGCAGGCAGTGTCAGAGAGAAAGCCGACTGACTTCCCAGAGAAACTTCTAGATTGGGCTGCAATTAGAAGAGGGGTCAGAAGTCAGCAGCAAAAGGCTCAGAGCTATGAGGAGCCCCCTGGTGGCTAACGAGCCTCAGCTGGGCTGCAGCTTTCTATGGGTCTAGACCTCACTCGTGGGGCTCTGACAACCACCCACAGAGTGTGCTTGCTCTCTGTGACCAGGTTTTCCCAGGAGCCCTGGGGGGACTTTCCGGGAGCGTGGTAAGCACCACATATTGAAACTATGAGTTTAGAGTCTCTTCTGTCTCCATCCCTTGATATTAATTGGCTTCAGAGGCTCCAGGGAGGGAGCCTAGTGTTTGTCCTGCTTGTCATAGGGAGGGCAGGCATGGCTCAGGGTGTCTGTGCAGTGGAGGATGTAGGCAAAACAGGGACCCTCAAACAAGAACATAAAATACTGTGTCAGCCTAAATTGGAAGTTTAATCATACTCTCAGGAACACATGCATGCAGACCTGTGGAGTCACCGACTGATGGCCTGAGCTAACCTAAAGTATTTTTCTTTACACTGAGATATCCTGAGATTAAAAAAAAAAGTACTTTTCTGGTGTCTTCTGCCTTGGCCTCTTCATTGGAACCCCGTAATGGAGGGGACATCATGGGGAAGCTGAGTCTGGGCTCTAGAGTTGGCCAGAAGTTGGGGCTCATTCAGGTTCAAGGCCCATGGCCTAGGCAAAGGGTAAGTGCACACGTTTGCATGTATGTTTGCATGTATGTGATGTATGTGTGTGCCCCAGTATGGGACTTCATTTTGTGTTTACATCAAAGGAGGTGATTGTGAAAGTGAATTTGCACGCACACAAGGAAACTTGTGTACAGGCACGTGGAAGTAGGAGTGCAAGGCACATATGTGGCTGTGTGTGTACGCCAGAACACGCACACAAGAACACACACATGCCTATGCATCCATGCTCAAGCGGGTGAGTGAAGCATCCAGACCACCCTTCTCTTGCCCGTGAGGGGTAAGGGGGACACTCACGGGTTCTGTTGCCAGTCCTGGTAGGAAACCACCCCACAGCACTGCAGCCCCAGCTGGACTTGGTCGAGGAGAAAGCACAGGTCTGGGTCATCGCGGTAGTGGATGATGGCTGCATGCAGGGTGTGCTTCAGGCCCTCCTGCAGTGGGCCCCAGAGGGCCACCACCAGCGTCCCTGCCAGGGCCTCCAGCGCTAGGCAGCCGAGGACAGCTCCACGGTAGAAGCGTAGTAGGCAGCTGTTCTCACAGAGAGCACCCAGACATCCAGACAGGCTCACCACACTGACCACCAGGCCTCCCAGCACCAGCACCAGCATGGGGTCCGCTGGCAGGGCTCCACCCCAGCTGTTCTCTGGAGACCTTTTGACAGCCAGCCCCCAGAGCCCTGCTGCCAGGGCCACCAGGGCCAGCAGGGAGAAGAAGAAGTTAGAGAGGAAAGTCAGATACTTGACACAGTTACTTCCCGTGGAGAGTGGGAGGGAGGAGGCCTGGCCTTCCTTCCAGGCCTGGTGCTTTGCCCCGGGACAGCATCTGCAGCCCCAGGCCCCTACCTGATCCTTCCAGAGTTCTGGGCCTAGGATGTTTGAAGTAGGTGGACTGTTCCTGGTGAGCGACCGCTCTTGGCTAGCAGTACCCTGCAGAAGGAGAGGAAACTTAGAGGATGCATTGCTCCTCGGCCATTTAGTCTGTGACTTCCAGCAATGGGTGAGGCCTCGTTAGAGGGGAGCTGAGAGGATGGGGTGGGCTTGGAAGAAGCTTGTGGAAGGAAGCAAAGAGTTGAAGAATTGGATAGCTAGGGGCCTGGGAACCTGCAACCTCATCCTGCTTAGGCAGAGAGCAGAAGGGCAGTGAAGAGTCCTGGCTCACTGCCTGTCCAGGTGGCTATGAGGCCAACCTTCTTTATAGCAGTGGAATGACAGTGCCCTGGAAGGTCCATGGTAAAAACTGGGTAGGACAGCACTTAAAAGGCTAGAGAGACGATGACTCAGATGTTGAGAGTACCGGCTGCTAGTCCAGAGGTCGTGAGTTTAATTCCTAGCAACCACATGGTGGCTCACAACCATCTGTAATGAGATCTGGTGCCCTCTTTCCGCTGTGCACCCGTTAGCAGAACATTGTATGCATAATAAATAAATATTTTTAAAAAATTTTCCCGTGCTAGGTGGTGGCAGCACACGCCTTCAATCCCAGCACTCGGGAGGCAGAGGCAGGTGGATCTCCGTGAGTTCAAGGCCAGCCTGGTCTACAAGAGCTAGTTCCAGGACAGGAACCAAAGCTACAGAGAAACCCTGTCTCAAAAAAAAAAAAAAAGTACCCTCTTCCTTTCTTCCACACCCTCTGTGGTCTTGCCCAGGCGTGGTATTCCCTGGACAGGATTTCACTCCTCCCACAGGGCAGAATAGTGGCAGTTGAGTCCACTTCCCCTGCATCTAGAATGGTCTCTCTGTTTGACGCAGTCTCTAGTGCCCCAGCGGCAACTTTGTGCAGTCCCAGGAGGGACTTTCCCACCCCAGCTGAAAGTGCAGGCTGCCTGGGACAGAGAAGCTGATCCTTGGAGCACCCTTGGTTCTCTGCATCACCTCGCACCGCTACCTGAACTGAGGTCTTTGGACAATGTGCCTGACCTAGTGTGGAGGATGCAGGGAGGGACCGAGTCCTGCTTGCCTAGCTTCCTGGACAGGGAGAGGGGCAACCAACAGACTAGGGCAACAATCTAGAGAAGGCAAGAAAACAGGCCCTCCGGCAGGCAGCCCAGCTGAACAGTAGATAGAGAGAGGCCCTTTACAAGGAGGTGGGGGAGAGTCCACTCATGACCTGATTTTTCTTTCTTTTTATTTTGCGGGTGGGGTTTGAGAGAGGCTTTCTCCTTGTATCCTTGGCTGTCCTGGAACTCACT